AGAGCAAGATGGTTACAAATGATTAGAAACCCCCCCCCCCCTCCCTTTATATAGTAGAGGAATTCCACTTATGGTACAATTTTAATTACAGAAGGTAATCCCATGATTAGCTAAACAACCGTACTTGATTCGATCCGTTTCGAGATTTTCGCCATGGTTCTCGATCAGTCACGGATATCTTGCCTTTCCGTTATTATGCTATCTTCGATCTTGCTCGATGTCTATCCCATTTGGTCTCGATCATTTCCGGTCTCGATCTTGACAGGTATTTCGAATTCCGAAGTCAGTACCTTATCCTCATGTTTCGGTCTGATATAATGCGAGGCCGGTCCGCGATTCGTCCCCCTGATCTCGGTTACTCAGTGAAATCGGATAAGCCCTATTTTAACTGTATACAACTTACTCTTGATGATACAGTTAAAACTGGAAACGATGATGGTTTGACGGAGAAGACGAAGACAGAAAAGTGCAAGAGTTGTAAGAAGAAGGTGGAATTAGTAGGGTTTAGCTGTAAGTGTGGTGGAATGTTTTGTAGGAGAACATGCATGGACCTTCAATTTCAAGTCTATTGGGTGTAAGCTTTTGGCTAAGGATCTAAGACATTCAATTTCAATAAGTCTATTGCCTTTATTTTGATTAATACTATTTAGTGTAAGTTGCACTTTCCTTTTGAGATTCTTTCAAAGAGAAAGTTATACCATTATGGTAATGGTCAAAATTATATGCAAGATATGTTTCTTGTATCACTATTGTCCTTTAATAATCACATTACCAAAATATTTTGGCGTACAATAAATATGTGACCAATGACTATTTATGTTATAATAATGACATTATTTTCTTATTTTCTTTCAAACCTCCTTCTAGAGGTGAGTGTGGTATGTACCACTAGCACGCTCATATTCTTCCAAAAATGAATACGTATTTATAAATCACATGTTGTCACATTCACATCATGAATGGACCATAATCATTTATATGTGCTTTATAAAATCTCATGTCAAATCGATGACAAACATTACTTTCACAAAGTGAAGTATTATTTTGAGAATCTTTATTATTCTCATTACCACAATGATGACGATTATAATTTCGTCTATTGCCACATCCGCATCCATTGATACATTTACGGTAATAATTTTATCTTCTTTCAGACTTATTACATATTGCGACCACATTCTCTTCAAGGAATGAGAATGAAGCAAATCCAATGGGACGGGTTTTCACTTCTTGCGCTCATGATCATACATGACTTTGATCATGGCAAGGCATAGAAATTTTATCACTTCGGGTGGTTATAATTTCTTACAAACTCTATTAGAGTTATAATCAAAATTTATTGTCTTTGCTTGTATTTAAAATCCAATTATAGAATGTCAATAATTTAAAAGAGAGAAATAAAGTAAAATACTTACCTTAAATCCAAAATTTATTCATGAAGTTCCTGGAACAGTTACAATCATTATGCTCAATCCCAAAGATTCTACTCAATTGGTTAGAGTCTTGTGCCGATAACGTGTTATAAACAATAAAAGAAGAAGAAGAGTATTGCAGAGAAAAGTAGGGAGAGAGAATTCTCATTGATTTGGGATGAATTACAATGGAATATGACCCCTCTATTTATCGAAAAAGAGTGACTTAGCCACCAAGTAAAATCCCTAAAATCACTTTAAAATATAGATATTCACCTTAAATAAAATTCTATTTATAACAAATTATATATTTTGCCCCATTTTTTCCAATGGTCAGACACGGGCTTCATTAGGGACAATAGCCGTCTATTGCCAATTCCTTTTATTCAAGACCTCATATAATAAGTAACTCCAAATCTAATATTTAGCCCAACCCTCATAATTTTGAAGAAAAAAGAAATCCTCGTAATACAATGTAACTCTATCAACTACATCCATCGAATACTTGTATTAATAGAAATTATTTTAAGGGATTCACTTAATATGTATAAATAATTTATCCAAAATCTCATAAATAAAATTATGATCCAAAACTCACTAATTTAAAATCCTGAACTCGTCTCTGTATCAAACCAGTTTGGCTTGTTTCATTAGCTAAAGATTGTGAAAGCACAAGAAAGGGATCAGTGGAGAAATTTCTCCGTCGGGAGGAAATTTAGAAAATGAAAAAAAATAATGAAGATGAAAGGTGGCTGTCACAATATCAAGACGCAATCCAACAACAGAGCTAGATATATAATCTTGAATATTCTGATCCACCAACTCATAAGGTAATGCATTAAGGCAGAAAGAAATACTGTAGTAGGCAATTCAAAAAGTGGGGTCACCCCACAACAATAAGGCCATGGCTTTAAGTTGATGATCAGTCTTCTCCAGCAATATATGCAAATCACAAGTTGCTTGTTTCTATGTTTTCCAAGTAATAAATTTTCAAAGGCCCCGTTTCAACTCTTTTTTGTGCATATGCATTTGGACAGAGTGAAATACAGCAATGGCCTACCCCAGCCCTCTTTCACAGATTATGGCAAACTCTTGTCCCAGTTTTCATGCATGCACTTCACTTTGTTGCTGGCCCCTTCTCATTCAACTCCATAGTCTACTCATTGCTTTCTCTAGATTTATCTTATAAATGTATAAAAGAATTTTTTTCTCTATCAATCTAATATATTAACTTGTTATAGTAGGTTCTTTGCCTTATTTTCTGAGTGATTAGTTTCATTAATTGAGAGTAGTTACCAATAGTTATTGTTTAATTAGTTACCTAACAGTGTAAAATAATTTATACTATTAGCGGTCGTTTGGTAGGATGTATTAGGAAAAATAATATATGTATACCTTTGGTATTATTTATTAATCCTTTTTTTGGTAGTATTTATCAACATATGTACTAGTCCTTATTCAGTATTATTCTTATACATAGCAAATGATGGCATTAGCAATACCATAGTTTTTAGTACATGGATAAACATGTATAAAGGCAAAACTACCTTTCAAAGCCTTTTCCAAATCCTTTCTAACATTTTTGGAGGGTATTGTTGTAAATAAATAAAAAAAATTAAAAAAAAAAATATGCAATGCATGGTTTTTTTAGTACACCGAACCAAACCGTCATAACAAATAATCCCCGCAACTAATGCTAATATTACTAATCTTATAATTACGGGACAATTTCACATTAGAACAACTGGGCTCTCTACTTTTCAATTTTATAGCCCATATTTTAATTTACAATCAACTAGCCCAAAAATAATAGGCTAAGATTCAACATCCAACTCCAATAGATTCTCAAAATTACTATTTAATTTTTAAAAAAGATTCCTCAAGCTTTTAAATTTATTTTTGAATCAGTAACTAACTGTGACTCAAATATTAATTCAACAAACCAAATTCATTTGGGTGGTGAAAATTAGATTTTTAACAAGCTTAAATATGTGGGTTTAAATTCCGAATTTGATTTTGTGAGAAATTTGGAGCGGGTGTTATTTAGACTTGTTAGAAATAGTATAAGGAAGTTGTATATAAAATTTAAAGTCATTTAATGGAGATTTGGACTGGTTTTGAACAAGAATTGCAACTGAAAATCGTGGAAGAAGTTCGTCTACAGACGCTTGTATAAAGGTGTATAAAAGTGTATAATAGTGTATAAGCTGTGTTTCTACACTAATATACACTATTATACAAGATTATACATAATTATACAAAAAAAGTGACTTCGTCTTCTTCCTTGCGTCTTTTCTGAAATTTAACTCAAATCTTGCTCAAATCTACTCCAAATCACTTCAAATTTAAATTTTGAACTCCTATTGATATTTTCAATCAATTGGAACAACACCCAATCCAAACAACTAACAAATTCAAAAAGACCATTTTCAAAAACAAAGCTTTGAATGGTCTCCAATGGTGGACTTCTACTCTTCAATTTTCTTATATTGCAAGCAGGTGACACAAGAGGACAAGCAGAAAATACACGGTCCCTTGAAACATATGTAGAAGATGTGAGAAGAAGAGAGAGTGAAAGCAATGGTTGTGAGAACATAGATTTAACTCCATAACTTTTAGAAGCAATGGCTGTAAAAATACAAATTTTGAATTTGCTAATGTTTTCAAAAGCACAATATTTCCAACTAAAATCAATAAAAATAGGACGAAGGGAGTAATAACAATTGACACTCTAATTTTAAGCAATTGTAATTGAAAAACACGAGCAGCAAAGAAGAAGCTTTTAGAAGACCTCTTCCTGGAGAGGATATGTAACCGCTACATAGATATGGAATGGTCATAATGCTTAAGAATTTAAAATACCATTTCAGTTTTCAAAATATGTATAACGTGGGCTAGGTGGGGTAAAACTTAAAAATATGGACCATTTTTTGTTATGGTGTGAAGTCATATGTATTTTCTTGTAATTCTTTCTATAATTACTAATATACCTTATTCAGTATTATTCTTATACACCTTACCAGACGATCCCTTAATTAGTGGGTAGAAGTTAAACGATTTCTTTTGGGGGATGTGTGGGGTTGGAAGAATTACATGTAATCACAATTTGAAGTCTAACCCACCAAAAAATATCATATGACGCCTAAAGCATCCAAAGTCAGAGTTGTTGTTTAATCGTACCTTTTTTTTTTTTTGGTTTCCCATCCGGTGTTGGGTATCCGTAGTGGAACCCAACTATATCCGGATTTGCGCCGCATAGGACCCCATTCGGGGAAAGCGCTCCCTACAAAGAATTTTTTCATACCCCGAGCTCAAACTCGAGACATCTGGTTTGGTGGTGTTGTTTAATCGTACTCACCATAAATGAGGGACCACTAGTCTATTAGCAATCATATCTTCAACCAACTTCTTAGTGGTTATCTGCTAATTCTTTAATTGTAATGTGAGGAATCAATGTTTTATCAGATTTGTAAGCTAGGATCTAATCAAACTGGATTCAGTGATTCCATGTGTTACCACAATAATAGCAGCTACAAGAATCTGTTCACATGCCTGCAAATGGCAATTATTCATACAACAACTAGAATCTTGATGGGTTGAAAATTTTGACTCAAATCTTATATAGTCTACAACTGATATGATACAATATACAGATTTTGGGTTAAAACAAAACATACCCTCACAGATCTTTAAAGGAGTTTCCATCTAACAATCCTTCAAATGATATCTATGTAATTAAAGAAACAAAAAGAAAATTCACTTGAGAAGAAGAGAAAAATTGGAAGGCAGAAATAGACATTCCTATGTTTAATTACTTGAACGCTTCAAAGTCAAGAAGTTGTTGAAGTTGGTACACTCAAACAAGGCCTTAGCATTCATTTCCCTTTCAAACCTCCAAATATAGTTGAGTCCAACTAACAGCTCTGTTATGGCAGCTTCAGTCTTGTCCTGGTTTGCAAAATACAAAGTCTGCAGCAGGAGAACATTAGTTTTTGGAATTAAATTTTGTTGTTCAAAGCTCCTTTCACTTTGCCATTTGATCATATTATGTGCCAAAGGTGACAACCACCCTAAAATCTTCTGCAGTGCATCTTTCCATTCTCCAGCAAGAACTGGATCACTAGCCGAAAAGCCGACTCCTTTTAGTCTTGATCTTAATGATGATCTTATACTATTTGGCAACATGGAGTATAAATCATCTCTAGCATCAACACCAACTAGTTGTGGTGATCTTATCATCTTTTCCATAACAATGATCAAATTAGCATAATGTAAAGCAAGTGCAGCTGCACCTAAAGTACTAGAAGGTGGTTTAAGCATCTTGGTATTTGACTCGAAAAACTCATTAAATACAGGGGGCTTTACCAATGGACCAGAGACAAAATTGCATGTGTTATGGTTTTCTGAAGGATAAACAGTGGCTGAAGCAGATAGACTACGTGGCAGAGAATTTGGATATCCGTGATTGATACCAAAAACAAGCTTGATCTTTGCTAAAGTAGTGAAAATGGATCGAGCAAGTAATGATGTAACTGTATCAAAGCTACGACACCATAAAGATCTCTCTTTTAGATACTTAACTTCTTGTTTCTGCCACAGAAACTTCTGTCGCAGCTCAATTATTTTCTGTTCTTTGATTGATGAAATATCAGAATCTTTGAAATGGGAATTCGAAGCTTTCTTTAAACTATTCTCAAGTACTGAAAGCTCGTCCATTTGTCGATGGAGCAGGGCAGTGGTGGTAACGTACTGATCCATTTTCTTGATTTTTGATTCCATATCTTTCAAGCTTAGAACCCAATTGTAAGGATCACGACCCGTGTTGGCAAATTCACTGAAGTAGCGATCAAAGTTTCTGAGATGGGAATCTTCACATCTTTTGCTGATTCTTGACAAAGATTTTGCAAGCAGCCTCAGATTCTCCACAATCTCTGCACAGGCAAGGCCGAGAAGAAAGGCGTCATCATTTGAGACAATTTTACGAACACCTTCTAGGCAGATTGACTCATTGCGAATTCGGATCATATTTTTGTCTGACAAAAATTGCCATAAATGGAGGAGTTTTGACATAAGGCCAGAGATCTCAAATGCTAAAACTCCAACGCTGGATTTCTTGATCACTGCCGGTTTTGCACGTGGCGCACTGGCTCTTACTGAATCCAAGCTATGGGCTATCGATTTTTTCACCTTAATTAACCACGTTTCTAGAGCCATTACTGATATATAATTCTAAGTTTAAGAACTAAACAACTTCTGGGTTTTTTGAGGAAGTAGATTTGTTTTAGAAATTGTTGATTGAGGTAAGAGAGAATTGATGGGTTAAATGAGAAAGAGTTGAGAGAAAAACAAAGAGACAGAGACGAAGAGTTGATATGAAGGGGAAATAATTGGAGAATGGAGCTGCAGAGAAGAAGATAAAAGCAAGTGCTTGAGGCTCGTGGGATGTTGTGACCATTAGGAATAGTCTAATAAGAAAAAATCAGACATTACTTTGAATATATGATATTAAAAAAAAAAAAAATCTGCAAAAGCCCACATTCAATGACAGAGCGTGGTTTAATTTATTAAGCAAAAGGGTATTTTGTCTCTTTCAAGTTGATGTCCACTTGCTATCAAACGGGAGTGGTATTGATTACTCTTTCTATCTCAAAAAAAAAAATGAAGGAGTATAATAATCAAATTTCACAACCTTTGCACGGGGAAAATTTTACAATAGAACAATTGGGCTCCCTACTTTTCAATTTTATAGCACATATCTCTTTCAATGAGATTTTTTCTTTCCTATACCATATATAAAACCTTATTACCAAAAATGTTCATAGTTTCTAATTTACCCGTCCTGTCCATATTTTTTCTACAGTTATTATACCAATCATTAAATACTAATTAATAGTAGTTGAATCTTCCTAATTTGTCGAGCTAAAATTGAGGAACAGAATATTCTAAAAAGATTTGGCGTAAATCAGATCAAATCATATTCTTCCAGATATTCCTATTTAGGCGCGCTACAATTATGGAAGTAAATATTCTTCCAGATATTTTCCACCATTGATAGCCATTAAAAAGCTTGAAAGCTTTGAATTCAAATTTGGGTTTTCGAAAATCATTATTTGTTTGGATTGGGTGTTGTTGAAAATAATTGGGAATATGGTTTGGAGTTTATATCTCAATTTTGAGGGGTTTTGGTGAAGATTAGACTTGGTTTTGACTGAAATTCAGATTGAAACTCGAAGAAGAAGAAGAAGAAGAAGAAGAAGACATATTGCAGAAATTATAGATAAATTGTAGATAAACTGCAGATTATCTACAATTATAAATAAATTGTAGATAAATTGTAGAAGAAGAAGAAGACAAAAACTTCAGCTCTAGAGCTGAAGTTCGACAGTTACAAAACAAAAACTTCAGCTCTAGAGCTGAAGTTCGCCAGTTACAAACAAAAACTTCAGCTCTAGAGCTGAAGTTTGTACCCAGTTTGTAGATATTTTGTAGATAAATTGCAGATTATTTGTATTCT